AAAAAAAAAAAAAAAAAAAAAAAAAAAAAGAAAGAAAGAAGACGATACAAAAAATTGTCGTTGCTTATCAACGTGGAACGCGTAACAGTTCGAAACAAACGATTCGATGAGCACCGAGCTCTCGAACGAGGAGAGCTCCACCCCTTTCCATTCCTCCACCACCTCGTGCACGTCTGTTTTCGTCGCTCGAATCTCGACCAAGCAGGCGGAGAAACGCAGATAAAGGTTTTAATTCCATGCGAATGAATCAACGTGCGAAAATCGAACGATTGGATCGGATGGGGTGGAAAGGGGGGATGTGATTGCGTAAAGGGATGAAATGGGAGGAGGCTCGATTGATGAACTGGCTGAAACAATGGTTAACTTCGCAACTAATCGCTTAATTCCTGGATTGCCGAGTTATGTCCACCGAATTTCGATTTCTCCCATATTTTTCTATCTCTTCTTTCTTTATTTCTTTTCCCTTTTTCCTTTTCTTTCTTTATTTCGAATTGACGGTCACAGTTTTCGCCACGTAGTCGAGATACGAATAATAAAAACGATTTCTAATATCTTATTAATTATTTAAATATATATTAAGCAAATTACCAATCAAAATATTGCTATGATCAATAAGAAGGCATTAAAAATAATTGAGAAATACGAGACTAGTATCAAGAGATAAAATACTATTTTCCAAGAAGAACCAAAGAAAACTCGATATTATTTCAATAATAATACTAATTACAAAGAGTGGATTAAAATTAAATAATTATCGAACAAAATTCGTTCCAGTTCGATATAGAATCGACTATATCCCATTGATACATTCACAATAACACACATATCCGCTATTATTACGAAATTCCTTGTCGATTAACAACGTCAACGAATCGTAAGAAATAACTTTTTCGACGAAGAAAGGAAGATCGGGGAAAAGAAATTCCCGAAGCGGCCGATCTCCACACGCCAATGGCTTCTTCTTCTGGATCCGGATATCTGGACGATATAAAAGTGGCCGCGAAATAAGGCGAAAAGAAGGCGAACAATGGCTGCCGGCACGGTGAACGACTCACTTTGTTGCTTTCACTGCGAAACTTTTCTCGTCCACGCCACTTTTAAGAAAGTTTCGTGAAGAACAGTAACGGCAATCATTGGGGCCGAGAGAGAACGGGAGGAGAGGCCGATTCTTGTTCTTGCCCGTTCGACCGAGTCATCGTCGAGCTTTTTCTCTCCTTTCTTCTCCCTCTTCTAGGGAATTGAAAGCGACAGACGAAGATTTTTTTTTTTTTTTTTTTACGGGACGATTTTCCTACGCCACCTCGCGGATTCTTCGCAAAAATACCATCCAGAGTAATTAAGGAATTGTGAAGGTTATGATTTAATGTAATCAGAGGAACGATACAGTGTTTGAACAAGGTGAAGATAAGTTAGATCTTAGATTTGTGATGAATTGATTAAGCGGGGAATGTAATTTAGATATGAAGTAATATGAAATTTGTATTAGGTGCGAAGAGCGAGATTTCGAAGAGGATTCGTTGGAATAGTGGATATTTTAATACGATTAATTTTATGAAATTTTATAAAATTATCGTTGTCTTCGTTCTCGCAATTTGTGGAATTTTCTGTGGGTAAAAAAGAGAGAATTGTTTTATCAATCGAAAGATTACTCACGTGTTCTGTGTTTATAGCAGCACCGTCACGAATATCTTGATGATCGGTACCGGAACCATTGACCATACCAGATCCGGTGCCAGCACTTCCGCTTCCTTTTCCACCCACACCGCCAGCTGGTGTTTGTGGCAAGCTCTGAAAAAGAGAAAAGCGATATTAGAATGATTAACAATTGTACATAATTTCTTTAATTAAAAACAGTTTTTATAATTGTATTTATTATTTCTTGCTAAATCTGAGAAACACATTTAAATACAACATTGTGTAATACGCTTGAATTTATTTTATTAATGATAACTCATTTTATAAATGTTTGCCAGAATAAACGAAAGGGTAAGATATTTTTCTTGTTCCTTGTTTTTCATCTACGAGCAATCTGTATCTCTAAAGTATAATTTGTCTACTGTTTCATCCGCAGAAAATCAATCTTCGTTCCACGGAATCGAAGATAAACAAAAAGAACCAGTTTTTTTAAAAGCAATCTGGAATTGAAACAGTGAAAACAGATACAAAATACGATGTTCATAACTTTATCCACTTCGTCGTCGATATATTCTTTGCTGATATTTTTTTAATAGAAACTTGGTTCCAGTTTTTCTCCGATTTAATTAATTATTCATCATATCTCGGCACCCATTAATCCTTAATTTTAAAAACAATTCGGATGATTCTCGATTAACAAATATTAATATTCATTCAAAATTATTCTTGATTCCTAATAAATATTTACGTAAAAAAAAATAAATAAAATTTAAAAAAAAATGAAATATAATAATTTAAAAAACTTTTCTTAAAATCATATCATATTAATTAAATCTATCGTAACAATTTATATGGAAGAAAAAGAAAAAAGAAAGAAGAATTAAATTATTCAGAGAAACAATAACTGTTTCCACGTAATCCTCACATAATCATTAACTAAAAAACTCCCTTCTTTTTTCTAAATTCTCGTCGAATGTCCTGAATTCTACTTCAACGAGATTTACAGATGATAACGAAAAACCAGGAGAAAATAAGACGGCATGCAAAAATTACAGCGGCACGATTTAACGTTTCAAATTACCAGAGGGGAGAGCAAAGAAAAATCCCAACCACAGCGCTGTCTCTTCCTGTCTGCGGAATCCGCGCTGAAATCTTGTCTCGATTTTGCCCCTTTTACCCCTTTCGTCTCTTTTATTCGGAAAATCTTTCCTCCTGTTTCGCCCTCGGCTTCGAGCTTCCTCCGAGCCCTATTCCGTGAAGCTTTTACGAGACGGATTAGATGGTGCAAAGATGGTCGTAAAGGGAAATTTTGTCGAACGTGTTTGCTCGTTCTTTGCTCTGAAGCCAGATATAATGTTGGTGAAGAATTTTCACGATCATGATTCCATCGATCTTGTTTCGAAAATTTGATAATTTTTTTTTTTGTAGAAATTTTAAGAATTTATGAATCGTTTTGATTGATTAAAAAAATGTAATCAGTTAATAATTAGGGCAGAATTGTTTAAATTTGCTAAGAAATTTTAATCAGGACTTTGAACGTGCACAAAATGAATTCAATTTTTTTTTACAATTATTTTATTGTAAAATAAACAAGAAATTATTTTTCTTGTATAATAAATTTCTATACTATAAAAGATATGCGTTAATAATTTAAAACAATACAAATTACATTTTGCAAACGATTTAAATAGCTATGGATCATTTATAGTAATAGATAAGTAATAAAATAGTAAGTTCAGTCGTTTTGCGAGCCACGAATGCGTTCCACCTGCTTCCAACAAATTTCCCTATAACGTTTGGGGAATTCTGTGTTTACGAATAAAATATATTAACAGCACTTTAGTGTTTAATAATGGACTATCGGTTATCTCGAACTATTAATTGCACCAACTTTTCGAGCAATGACATCACTCGAAACCTAATAAATGGGGTTGTAAGTATGGTATAATTATCAGATATGAAATATTGAGTAAAATTATAGCAAATTCTAGTTAGAAATTAATTAATTAGCATCCACTATTAGCATCCACTTGTTCCATTTATTTGATAAATTGTTACAATTTATTTTACGAAGAGAATTTCTGTAATTTCGAGTTTAATTTTAAAAATAAAATAAAATTTAATAAACCACAACTTATTATCACAAATTTATAAAAGATATATTACATAAAACAATTTATGCTCGAGAATAAAAGAATACGAAATTATACTTTTATATCCAACTTACGAACAAACATATACAACGATTTTAAATTTCACGCTTTGTACATATTATTTAGTCGAGAGAGAACCGAGATCTCTATGAAATGTGGTTTTCTCGCCACAATCTACTTGCAGAAAGGATTAAACATATAAATACGAAAGCAAGCTCCAAAGTAACAAAATTTTTTCCTTATTTAACAATCCGTACAAGCATTATGAAAACTCGTTTATTATGAGAAATTACATGATCTCGTAAGTGTAATTTCACATTAAAAACTTTATTATATTTTCATTGCAAACAGGGAGATTAGAACAAACTTATCTTGATGAAAATAAAATTCAACGAATTGTGCTTTAACTTCTTGAAACAAGAATAAAAGAAAAAGAAAAAAGAAAAAAAGAAAAAGAAAGTGCCTCGAATTTTTTGGAAGAACCACTTCAAATGTTGTTTAAACTTTATCAAAAAACTTCTAGTAGTCTTCGACATAAAACCAGAATTCTCTTTTTCTTTTTTGACATCTTTTAACCATGTCAAGATCCTTTAATTTCTTCTCTTAATGAAATTCTCAATG